AAAACAAAAATGAAAACACAAACAAACAGGCCCTATGTTTTTAATGAGATTAAAAATATAGTAGTTGCCAATTTCTATTTTTCTTTGTCTATAAGCAAAGGCTTCTCCTAATGTTCTATAAATAGGAGACTATAGAAATTGGAGAAGATTGATTGATTTTTATCCCTATTACCCTAGGCCGGCTGAATTTCCCAGGAGAGATCTTCCAATTTTCCCAATTCTTTCACATACACGTTGATAGTGAAAGGATAGAAAATAAGTGAGTGATCGTTCCGATAGTTATACCTTGAGCCCACACTTATCGTCTTGCAAAATGAAGGAGTAGAAGAGGAAGGCTTAGGTGTTCTAAGAAAGCTTTTAGAGCAAGGAACATTCGTTGACCAAGACCTTAAGTTATCTTCCTAATCGTTAGCAAGGTATCTTTTCTTACATATTAATAAGATTAATTTATTTTGACATAAATTAATATAATCTATAGCATATTCAATAGGTTTCGTGAAAATTTTTTGTTATACACGATCCGCACAACGAAAACGTTTCGAAAACCAACAAGTATCGAAACGGTCTATAGACTATATTAATTTATGCCATGATTATGTGATAATCAATCTTTATTAAATATGTGATATTTAAGTTGTATGTATGTGATGGGTAGGCACTTGCATATATTATGGATGTTTATATTTTCATGTTTGATAAATGTATCGATGATGGATTTGGTCGTTAATTATATGGTTCCATGGATCGGTATTATTCGTGACACTTTCAATTCGATTAGAAATTTTGTAAACCTTCGGGTACAACACCCCAGAGTGCTTCTATCGTGCTACAGCATTGCTGCGGCATATTGTTTATGATCCTGCCGTGCTACAGCATTGCTGCAGTATGTTATTTATGCTCCTGGCGTGCTGCAGCATTGTTGTAGGATATTGTTTCTGGTGCTGCCTGCTGCTCCTTGTTGCTGCCTGCTGCTCCCTGTTGTTGCCAGCAACCTCTAGCGCGCCCAACAACCCCTGCCAACAACTCCAGTCGCGCCTGTTTGATTCGTGGATTATCCGAAAGAGTTTCTAATAGAAGAGAGACAGTGTCCGGGCCCGAAGAAGATGAAATGGAAGACCGGGGAAGTAAATTCAAGTCTCCTTGATGTAGCGGATGTAAATTATTGTAATTTTAATTCCATTATTTATTTTTAATTGGGTTGTAATTTAATTATCCATGTAACTCGGTCAAATTCGGCTTAATAGCCGATTGCATATTTTATATTTCATGTGATGATTATATATTATATGCTTATGCATATAACATGCTATAAGATTTTGCATGCCTACTCATATGTTTATTTACATGTCATGCATATATGCGCATAATATAATTTATTTTATTTTGTTAAAAGAGTTTTGAAAAATAAAATAAGGATCATGCGCTAAATTGATTTAATGAGATTAAATTAATTTTGTTGCAATGTGGATTTGCAAAACAATGTAATTATGTTGAATGAAATTTAAGAGTTAAATTTTTGCAATTTCACATATTCAATAAAATAAAATGTTTATTTTATTGAAATTTGAAAACCATGAGATGATTTTAAAAGAAAATACACATTTACAAAATATTGAGTGGGAGAGGGTTGTATGACAATACAACTCACTAGACTCCACTGTTAGTTCAACACTGTGAGATTCGGAATGGCGCTTCATGACGACTTTGATTTCGTCCTCCCTCCGGGGAGTGTCCATTCAAGATCAATACCATGGTTGACTTCCTAGCGATAGGATTCAAAGATGTATTTCCAGTTTGACCTATCCTACGGTAACACTCTGGAGTTAAGTCTGTTGGATCTGAAACAGTGGGTTACACTCATAAGATATAATTAAAGTGTTAATTATATTTTGACTAGAATAACAATAATTAATAAAGGTTAAAAATATGAGATATTTTGATAACCTTGTTAATTGAGAAAGCCTCGGTTCAATTTAAAAATATTTTGACCTATCCTACGGCGGTACTATATTTGTGGTAAATTAGATTATCGTTGGCATTTATTATTAAACCATGGTTTTATGTATTTATCATGTGCATCTTGCATCACGTTAAATCATGCCAAAATATTTGTTTATCATATTCATGCGCATAAATTGAAATTAAATTTACTATCTATTCCAGCAACATGTCAAACCCTATTGTCACGTTACTTGCGGCTGACAAACTAAACGGAGACAACTACAAGAGATGAAAAAGTAATATGAACCTCTTGCTTATATGTGATGATTATAAATTTGTCCTGACAGAGAAATGTCCTCCTAAACCTGAGGAAAAAACACCAAGAAAAAGCCTATGATCGCTGGATCAAGGCCAACAACAAAGCTAAATGTTACTTGTTGGTCGGAATGAGCGATGTGCTTCGCATGAAGCATGAAGAGATAGACACTGCTTATGAGATAATGCAGTTGTTGGACAACATGTAAGCCTTCACGCATGAGAAGATGAAGAATGGTTCTTCAGTCCGTGCCCATGTTTTGAATATGATCGAACACCTCCATGAGGCCGAGGTCAATGGCGCTATCATCGATGAAGCTACCCAAGTCGGCATTATCCTGGAAAGCCTGACCCCACAGTTCCAACATTTTAAGAACAAATATATTATGAACATAATTTAACAAATATATTATGAACATAATTTAACTTGACGGAATTGCTAAATGAACTACAATACTTTGAGTCTACCAATGGCAATGGAAAGACTGGAGAGGCAAATGTTGCTGTTGCAGAGAGTTCTTCCAAGAACAAAAGGAAGAAGCCAAGAAATCAAGGGAAGGGTAAGGCCAAGGCTAAGAACAAGAAGCAAAAGAAAAACAACAAGGACTCCGACCAGAAGCCCAAGGGAAAATGTTTCCACTGCAACCAAGAGGGCCACTGGAAGAGAAACTGTAAATGGTATCTCGAGGAGCTCAAGAAGAAATGAGAACAAGGTAAATATGATTTACTAGTTCTGTAAACATGTTTAGTAGAGGATCACACATCATTCTGGATAGTTGAGTCGGGAGTGACTAATCATGTATGTTTTTTTTGTAGTCTTAGTTCATAGTGGGAGCTTGTTGATGGGGAGTACATGCTCAGAGTTGGCAACGGAGCAAGGGTCTCGGCTAAAGCAGTGGGCGAAGTCAAACTTCGTTTTAGAAATAATAGATATTTAATTTTGAGTAATGTTTATTATATTCTAGACATTCGTAGGAATTTGATTTCTGTCTCCAGTTTATTTGAACAATTATTTAAAGTTTCTTTTGATAATGAATTGGTTCATATTTCTAAAAATGGTTTGAATATTTGTTCTGGACGTCTGGATGGCGATTTATATAGTATAAAACCTATGCCTAACACATTGCAAAACATTGAAATGTTCAAGGTTGCCGAACCTAAGAATAAGAGACAAAAGATTTCTCATGAAAATAACACATACCTATGGCATCTTAGACTTGGTCACATTAACCTAAACAGGATTGAAAGGCTAGTAAATGATGGTCCTTTACGCGAACTAAAAGTTAGTGAGCTCCTTGTCTGCGAATCCTGTTTGGAAGGTAAAATGACAAAAAGACCTTTCTCAGCTAAAGGCCAAAGAGCCAAACAACCCTTAGAGCTGATACATTCGGATGTATGTGGACCCTTAAATGTTCAAGCACGAGGTGGTTATGAATATTTCGTCACTTTTATAGACGATTATTCAAGGTATGGTTATATTAACCTAATGCAAAATAAATCTGAAACTTTTAGAAAGTTAAAAGAATTCCATGCTGAAGTTGAAACGCAATTAGGTAAACCAGTCAAAGTACTCCGATCGGATCGGGGAGGTGAATACTTGGATACAAAATTCACAGGCTACTTGACTGAGAATGGTATACTCTCACAACTTACCGCTCCTGGAACGCCATAGCAGAATGGTGTTGCAGAAAGGAGAAATCAGACTTTACTAGACATGATGAGATCCATGTTGAGTTATTCAATGTTGATTTGGTTGTGTTCTCTGGGTTGATGGATTTTTTGTGAAAAATTTTTATTCACTGATCGAATCAGAATAGGAATTGAAATTCAAATTGGAATACGAATTGAATCAGATTCTCTTTCTCATCCTAAACGCATAAGGTTCGTTACATTTTCATCCTTCTTTCCGAAATTACCATTTTTCAATTTCCCAGGGAAATATTCTATGTGCTTGTACTTAAAGACTAAAGGTTGCTTAGGGGAAAAAGAAATTGTTAAAAATATACTAAAAAGAATTTATTAATCTATCTTATTTACAGAAATACTGACTCTGAAATTTTTAGTTATTCCCGGTGCGATTTATCCGTAAATTAGCTAAGACTCAAAATCTTTTCAAAACAAATGCAACTCTTTAAAAGTAGTATTTCTCTAATTCACGCGTAGGCTTTTGGGCCGACTATCAATTTAGTTACGGAAAGAAAACTGAATTTAGTAAGTAACCATTTTTCTAATTTCACTCATTTCCAATGCCATGTGGATATTGCATGTTGAAGATAATTAAGTTATGCTTGAATTATGATAAATGTTTCCATATTTCCATTTTATGGACGTACAAACTCATTGAAAGTCAAGTGACACGCCCACTCATTACATGCGCTGCATCCTAAATACATCAAACTATACACTAAGGTTTATCATAAAAGAAAATATATGAGCACTGTAGAACTATATTGTACCTTCCTGAAGGCCCTCAGAATTCATGATTTTAATTAATAATAATAAATAATTTAGTCGTATTAAAAATATGAAAACCTTAGAAAACCACTACTCGGAATTGGGAACCACGTGATGCCATTAAGACAAAACACCCCGACCAAGTGATTAATTAACTTAAACATCCAATGAGAGAGAGAGAGATGACAGAGAAAAGATAGCCAAAGCATTTCAATTGTGATTTCGGTCAAATAATAAAAATTCAAAAATTATAGTAGTAATAGTAAGAAGTTTGATGTTTTCATTCCTTCCTAGCATAGGGGTGATCTATGAGGAATCCCTTTTCTTCTACTAATCATGCTTGTGGCAATGTCCTCATCAGAAACCTTATAATTACTAGCCGATCTTGCACATACATAATTAAGCCCACTTCTCTTCTTTCGGACAATCTCAGTACAAGCCATCATGTTATCCGAACCCGACGAACCAGACGACGGGCTCATAGGCTCGTCGCTGTCGACTATCGTCGAGTGAGGGGTCTCGTTGGTCATCTCGTCGTCTCCCATTTCTTGTGGAACCAAGAAGTCAGGACTAAGTTGTAGGGAATTGCATGTCCTTAAGTAAGGAGAAAGGTCTTTCATGTGCTTGAGCACATAGTCCACCTACAGTGAATGTAGAATTAGACGTCATGCATCATTCCAATGACAACATTATTGGTCGTAGTGATAATCTTTTCACTTAATTACTTAAGTGTTCAATTATGCGAAAGTTAAAAATATCAACATATATTCAAATGGCAATTCAGTTGGCTTTCCTTGTTTTGCAAAGTAAAAGTTCAATTCAATTTTATATATGTGCTTGCGCGTGCATATTCAGTTTTAGTGATGACTAATTATTTGTAACCCGTTATAAAGGAGCGATTACATATAATTTTTGTAATTTTCTCCATAAAAGCACAATCTGTTTGTCTATAATTATATACATGTGAAATTGAGTATATATATATATATATATATATCTAAAATTGTGCATAATTTATATAACATATATATATATATATATATATATACATATAGCATCTTTTACATATGAGCTGATTAGAGGAACACCTCGCATGAAAAAGATTGGGATTGAATTCACGTAGAATTATATATTACCTTGCAGCCGAGAGAGCAGTGGATATAAGGTTCTTGGAGACTTCTATCACAAGAAGTGCAATAGTTGCCAGACCCCTTGAATTGCCTGTTCTGAGGTCTCTTCTTGATAAACACAACTTTTGCACTATTTATAGTGTATGCCTAGAAGAGAAAAATGAATATATTGACCCCAATTTAGCACCTTAATTATTTGATCGGTATATCTACACGAGCAACACATTAATTAAAAATGAAGAATAATTAATAGTGATAATTAATATTAAGAAAAAGAAACGCAACCTGAACGTTAGAGCAGTCTATGAGTTTTTGAAGATCCTCCAATCGGACAACATCATGGTATACGTATCGACGAACTTGAAGAAGCCTATGAAAGCGATGCGAGGGCAAACAGTGAGGGCAAATACTTGCGCAACAATCCATGCAACAAATGTTCTTTTCGTTCTTTTTAGCACTTTCATGGAAAGAGCAGGCCACGAAGAACTTCTGCGTGTAAAGGGCATCCAACCATGCAGGCTTTTGAATTCCCTATACATACATATATGGAAGAGAAGAATTAATAAACTCATTAACCATTTAATTTGGACCAAAAAGTTGATGTATAAATATGTAAGAATTTTGGAAGAGAAAGAGAGGAGAAAGAGACAAACCATGATCATGAAAGCGCAATGGTTGATCAATTGAGAGGATAGAGAATGAATATTAGGTAAAATGACTCTCTTTTGAGGTGTTAATATCAAGAGAGTGGTGTGTAAGGAGCAAAGTGGAGAGAGAGAGAGGGAATAGCGCATGGAGATAAGAGTATTTATGGAGGTTCACAAGAGAGGTGAGGGGGTGTAATGTATATATTTATTTCTTGGGGTACTACACAGCATTTTGTCAACAAGCGTGCTTGTTTATGAAGAGAGAGAGAGAGAGAGAGAGAGAGAGAGAGAGAGAGAGAGAGCTGAATTAATAAAAGAAGTAAGATGTATGAGGGGAACGTGGGCGCTGTTTTCGTGTCGACCATTCTCTAAAATATCTAATTTTTAATTAATCTTTTTTGCTTGCTCATCTCCTTGGCTTAAGAGCTCTAAATATTAATGCTAAACAGAAACAAGTCTCTCCTTGAAGGAGCTGTCCGGTCCCATGAAACTATTTCTTTTTCTTTTTTCTTTTAACCTTTTCTTCCTTTGATTCTCATAATCTATATTGGGTGTAATCGGGTTGGAAGTTGAAACTATAGCCCACTTGAAGTTTGAACTTTGAACTTTGGAATGGAAGATATATAAACTAAACACTAATTTAGTACACATATGTAATTCAATAGCGGTCATTGTTCGGCTATATATATACATATATATATATATACACACACACATATATAGATATTGGTCAGTTTTGCAAGTATTTTACGTTGGACTTTTGGCTGGTTGTTAACATAAACATTGAGTTTGATTTTAAATGGGGTTTGTGGTATGGTAGTCGATCGGCCATTTGTACAAAATCCTTAACAGATTAGGAAAATCAAATACCATTATAATCAGGTTTAATTTTTAACTACTAAAATGCTCATAAACTAAAACGCCATTCCTTAGAAAACGATCCTTTGTTACGGGATACTTTTTATTTTTCTATTTCAACACAAACACACATTTGGACTCCCACATCCTTGATATATTCTTGTTATAAAGATTTTTTTCTTTTCTAAAATCTAGTTTTCCAAGACTACTTCAAAGCTAAGTAACCAAGAGGGAAAGCTTACGTATAATGGGTAGCAAGCTTGTTAAGTTATTCTATAATTGGCACTTTATAACCAGCATATATATAAGATGGACAAATCGTAGATGATTGCTAGTGATCATTTAAGTCTTACTATCAACTGTATTTAAGAAGGCACTGCTCGGAGAGAGCTAGATCCACAAACAATACATACAAAACTTATCCATCAAACATAATAACCGCCAATATAATATCGCGGCAAATTTCTTTTTTCTTAGTCAAATATGGCGAACTTCCTTTTTGTACATAAATACGTATAGGCATCATGATCATACGTGTGTGTATATATATATATATATATATATGCATATGTATGTGTATGAGTGGGTAGGTAATTCTTTATATCCATGACGAGATATATAAATATATATATATTATGAGTAAAAAATTAATTAAAATGAAAAGAAATATGTTACAAACATTAGATATATCTTTTTATTTTAGGGTAACAGAGTATAATGCATTTATTTCGTGGATTTATATGTGTCTTAGTTACATCAATACTGTTAATTTTGTGACAAACAAACTGAAGCGCCAAGACTATTAATTAATACTAAATCTTCAATCATGCATGTATAGGAATTTAAATGCAGAAATATATGACTGTAATTTAATAGTCTAAACGTATAGTCCGCAATCTGTGGATAAAAGACGACCATTGTATTCTTAAGAAAATTGTAATGAGAGTCTACTTCAAATCACAGAGACAGCCATTGTTGGCTATCAGAGCAAGCATTTTAAAGTAGAGACATTGTTACACACACTGACACACACATAGTGGTAGATATATATTTGACTGTACCTATAGTGTAATTGATTTTATTAACAATTATGATTAATTAAAATCAATTTACTTTGAAAATCATAATAAGGATGGTTTTGATTTACATCCATCTTTTCTCTCAACACCCACCTCTTTACTCTCCATACCTCCTTCTAACTACACACATATAAATCAATTTGTTACTTTAATATTATCTTTTTGTTTATATCTCTTTTTTTTTTCTTAAAAGGAAACTTTTAAAAAGAAAAAAAGAAACTATTTTACGTGTGAAAAATTTGCTATTAGATCTTAGAGTACTTGGGAATATATAAAGTACTTCTCTTGATTCGGTTTCTTTTTTCCAAACTATATATTACATCTTTTTAGAAAAATAAAGACCATAAATAAAAATCGGAAGCTGAGTTGCTTTACATGCATAAATTGATCGGACTCCATAGCAAACAAAAGTGTAGTAAGATACAACCACGAGCACAAGCGGCACATTAAAAAGAAGAAGAAGATACAACCACGAGCACAAGCGGCCAAAAAAAAAAAAAAAAAAAAATCTTAAAAAAAGATAGAAAAAGGGTAAAATGATTACCTTAAAAAATTGATTAGCAAACAAATGTAAGTACAAAATGAAAAACAAAGAGTAAAAGAATAATGTTCATACAACAAAGAGCAAAGAAAATATAACATACCTTCATGTAATTTTTTAGAATAGTAATTGAAAGGTGGAAATTAGAATTTTGCTATGGATTTTTGAAGTGGAAATATATAATTTGGCGATATGATATGTGGGGTGTATGGAGAGAAAAAAAAATCCTCTATCATTTGTTTTTCATTAATAATAAAACTAGTGTTTAACGCACGCTCTGCGTGCATAATTTATTTAAAATAGTAGTTATGCAAATTGTTAAAAAATAGAGAGAAAGAAGAAAAAAGAAGAACACAAAAGAAATGAAGATAAAACGGTGCATTTAATTTAATTTGTTTTCATTTAATTTACTATGCATTTATTTGTTCTAATGCATTCTTGTTTAATTTTATTTTTTATTCAAATGTATAATACTTTTATCTGAGTAGTATTAAAAATTTAGTGCAAAATGATATTAAAACTGACAAAATTAGACCACAAATCAATTCAAAATAAATAAATAAAATTATTAATAATAATAATAAATAAAATTAGAAACTATTTCAACCGTTGGATCGAGATTATGATGGCTACAATAGGCGCTTGAAGAACATGCGCACGTAGAAGCGCGTCCGTGTTGGTGGGAGTAGCGTTCCACTTTTCAGGTGGGCCAAAAGACGGGAAGAAAATTATAAACATTTATAAAGAATTTATTTATAAAACAATTCATAAACAAAAAAAAAAAGGTTAAACAATTTTTTTTTTAATAAGTTTTTTTTTTTTTTACTTTCATTTTATAACAATATATTTTTTTCCAGCAAATGCTATACTGACACATAGTGCTCAAACTTTAGAAGGGCGGCCCACGACCGCCTGAAAATACCGAGTTTTTGCCAGAGCCCGAGCCTGAGCCGCCCGAAAAATTCAGGCGGTCCGCCCAAGCCTGAAAATGCCCTTGAACAGGCTGCGGGCTTATATTTGGCTGCCCAAACCTAGCCGGGCAGCCCGAGCCTGCCCGAATAGCCCGAAATTTTTTTTAATATTTTTTAATTTTTATAATTATTAAGTTAGTTTGTGTTAAAATTATATCAAAATTAAAATCAACATTCAACAAATATTATTAACACAATTGAATAAAGTAATCATGTATATTAATGATGTATATTAAATTCGTAATTCATGATTGTCTCGTTAAAAATCTTACCAAGAAAAACCCAATTGGGATAAAAACTTGGCAAGGAAAAAAGAGTGCAATCATTTTGTGAAGAATTACAAATTTTACAAACTTACAAAGTTATACAATTACAAAGACAATGTCAAAAGTAAATACCTATTTACAAATTACAAATTACAAATTTACAATTTAATTTGAAGCTGAATGATCGTCTTCAAAATTAAATGTTAATTGATTAAATTTATCGATTCATTCTTGGCTTGCCGGTGAAATTCTATCCTATAGACGTTGATCGGCCCGATCACAATCCTTAATGCAAACCAAGGCTTCAACAATATCCCTTTACAATGCATTCCGGCGTTCCTCAAGTATTCTTTCTGTCCTACTGAAGGCTTGTTCGGATGAAATAGTGGAGACTAGGATCGAAAATATATTCATTGCCAATCGAGTTAGGATTAGCCAAGTTAATATTAGCCCATGCCCTCCACCATTGAACTAAGTCAAACGATTCTGTCGTACTGTCGACTACTAAGCCTTCACTGAGATACGCAATAAGCTCGTTGAAGCTGCCCCCACCGCTGCCACTGCCACTTGTTGACGAAGATTCACTCCCAACTTCTGTTTGAGCTGTCTTCTTCTTCTTCTTCTTCTTCAACCCGAAAACATTCAAGAATGAATGCGAATTTTCGTCTTGTTGTTGTCGTTCCTGTACTCTAGGAGGTACTCTAAACCTAATCTCATATTTACTATAGATCGAAGATATTGTTTCCTTGATTATTGGATATTGGTGCGAACAATTGATGCGTAAAAATTCACCTAAGTTTTCTAAACCTTCTAATTTTAATCTAGGATAAAAAATAGTACCTAAACCATACAACAAAGGCAACTTAGACCAATATTTTATAAATTTCTTTTCCATAGAATGGATAGGAACTACTAAGATTGGGTCCTCCCTATATTCGCTAAATAAAATACTAACTCGTAAAAGTTCTAATAAGGTGTGCTTTTTAATCTAATAAGGTGTGCTTTTATTTAACTAAATTTATTTTTTTATTTTGTTTAACTAAATCTATGGACAAAATTAGACTACAAATCACTCTAAAATAAATAAATAAATATAATAAGTAATAATAATTAAAAAATAAAAACTCTGACTTTTTTCTGGCCGTCCGATCAAAACCACCAACAACCGCTATTGGTGCGTGCAAAACACACGTAGAGTTAAGCGCATCCGATAAGGGAAAGCAGACATCATCACGTCAGCTTTCTGCAGATGGGCCCCGTCACTTTTTCCTTTTGCCAATGGGACGCTGACACGTGGCAGAATTTGTCGGACCACTTAGGAGTTGTTCAGGATTTCCTACTCCATGCTTATGTGAGCTCCATTTTCACCTCTAATCGTTCGCTAACACGTGGCCAGTTATGGATCGGATGAATTGCGGCCAGCCACGTTGATCTCACTTAAGAAGCCTGCCAATCATAAACTGAAACATGGTAATTTCAATAAAATCAACATACCGAATCTCTTTCTCCGTTATAAAAAAAAAGAGTATTTGCAGTGGATTGTGGGGGGAGAAACAGACGAAACTTTTTGTCAGCCCCGCCCCCTCTAAAAAAAAAGAAAAAGATTCAGCCTTAGGCCTCGTTCATTTCACCGATTCGAGTTTTTAATTTTAAGTTTTTACAGTAAAAAGTTCTCAGAAAATGTCACATTTAACTTTTTATACTACAATAAAAAGCTCTAAAAAAATATCACATCTTAACTTAAATTAAAAACTCAAATCTGTGAAATGAACAAGGCCTTAGTAATTGGTTTTAGATTTATAGTTAAGTCCATTTTCCTGTTTT